TCTTTGGTTTTGGTTTCTTAAAGACTTCTGTTCCCACCATCTTGATGGTTTTCATCCTTATTTACTTGGCCTTGTCTGTTGGCAGTGTGTTCTGTTCATCGGTGTCTTCTGTAGCTGCCTCTGCATTATCCTCCCTTTAAGCTTGATCCTGAGAATTACAGGTGATCTTAAAAAAATTTATTGTATTCCCTATCAAGAAAGGTATGCAAGTGTGTCTTCCTTTATTTTAACTTCTATCTCCAGCTCATCTTCTATCTCACCTTCTTCCCAGCTTTATTATTCATGGCCTTTCACATTCTCAAACCTACCAGCTCTCACCCACCATTGTCTGGAACTTGTCCCAGTCTTTATGTCTCATTCAGGTCACCATGGGGGAACAGTCTTCCCCCAGTGCCTCTGCTCCAATTAACCACTAAATATCTTCAGCCTCTCACTTTTGATGGTGGCAGTGTCAGAATGAGGACATGTTAGCAGTCACAGAGGAGGAAAATCAAAGTAGGAGGCATAATACAAGTGCTAGAGGACTCACAGCCTGAGGTGGGAAAAAAAAATGGAATCTGCAGTAAGCAGACTCTCTTATCTGTGCCTTTGTCTCTTCTGAAAGCAGCAAGGCAGCTACATCTCTGGATGCTAGAAGGAATGCCACTTTGGGGTTCTGAGGTACAAGATTCTTCCTGTCTTAAAATTGAGCAGTATTAGAATTCATCTTTCCAGTAGCTGGTTATGATTTTTGGTATAAAAATTTCTACAGCTTGCTGTGAGCTGCATATTATACATGAAAATAAGTAATGCTTTGAATGTGTTTCATGAAAATCAGTACTCGCAAAGTGGATATGCACAAATACTTTCTTTTGGATAATGCCATGTTCATGCTGCCACTGAAAAAGTGCAAATTAAATTTTTCAAAATAACTATTTGGAAGTCAGTATGTTTCTAGTTGTAGACATACTTGAAATGTTTACTCTCATCAATATTTTGTTAGGACACCCAACGATACCCATACCACTTTATTTTTTTTTCCTTATGTTCTGCAGAATTCAGTTTGTTCTCAGGTGCCATTATATAAATTGTTAGGTTTCTTTCTAGAATTCTTTACAAAATTTCATCCATACATGTTGCATGCTGTTATTTGTATTCTACTAAATAAATCGTTTGTTCACATACAGAATGAAAACTTTAATGACTCTTAATTTTAAAAAGATAGTTTTTCCAAGGAAACAAATAGGTTTTGTGGGTGATTTTTGGTGCTGTTGCAGATTTCTGTACTGTTGCTGTCTCTCTCTTAATTGCCTGTTTTGGGCAGAACAAATAGTACCATGATTTATCACTATGTTTATCAGCTGTACTGTTGCTGTCTCTCTCTTAATTGCCTATTTTGGGCAGTGCTCTGAAATCATAAAGCACTATTACAACACAGTAGCATTTCCAAGAACATCTTGTGAGCACACAATAAAATTCCCAAGGTCATACATGACCACAGTTCTGGGCTTTATGTTTCCAGGTTGTGGTAATTTCTTGTGACAAGAAGCTAAAGCTGCTGTAATTACTTGTGACCTTGGAACATAGGAAATATTTCACAGACATATGTTTCATTTCAAATATACTCACAGCAGGCTTTTTACCATAATCTTAATGCCCACAAAGCCTTGCATTCAAATGCATTCAGGATTACTGCACAATGTTAAAAATCAATGCACAAGTTGAAGGATGAGTTTGTCCCTGAGACCTAAATATCCAGGCAATTTGATCTTTTGCATATCAACACAATTTTAAAAATTAATAGTTTCAAAAGGGAGTATTTCAGCTTCAACATTAAAGATGGTGAGACTGCATATATCTCATTTGTACAGTCTGAAATATCTCACTACATTGTAATTGTAGACCTAAGGTTACACAGTTTTCCACAAAGTAAGTGTGGGGTTTTTTTATAGGATAATGTTTGAAGTTTCTGTAGAAAGATGTGGGCTTCATCTGTCCCTTACTGGGAACCATATTTACCTTTAATTCCAAAACATGTTCTTTAATAAAGGCAGATAAACTTAGAGAAGTAATGTGGTTTATTTTTCTGATTTGTCTCTAGACTGCATTGTAAGGATTTGGCAGGAGAATGGAGTGGTTTACTGTGTTTCAGATCACCCTCTGCATATCAGTTTAAATATTATTACTTTAGTTTTCTCATCTTCATCAGTTTAGATTTTTTTTCCAATATAGTAGTTAATTCTTGTCCTACTTTGGAAAGAGAGACAATTAATAATCTCTCTGTCCCTTTCAAAAGAAAGTGTAGAAGAGCGTTAGTCTGCATTTTTTTAAGGGTATACTCTCTAAATTTTTAACATAGGTGTCACTAAAGTCACCTTTAGCGTTCCATAAGTGTCCTTAAGGACAGAACTAAATACCTTTTATCACCATCTTATTAAAACAAGGCGATGAAATGGATCTATTTGTATAACTAGTCCACTTTTATTTTGCAGACTTGCAATCCATTCCACTGTAATTCTGCCACTGATCTACTTAATAATAGTAAGGAAAAATCCTTTTCGATTTGCAATGGGGATGGCTCAGGCACTTCTGACAGCCCTCATGATTTCTTCCAGGTAAACAAAATAAACATTTATTTTCTGTAATGTTCTTAGTAGTAATTGCATTGTTTGTGCTCTGATACTATTGTTACTTTGTTACATATCCTGATTACATCTGGACAATTCGAAATCCCTTGGAGATTGAAATACTACTTTAATCATTATTTCTGTAAGACCCAAAGAGGCACAGTAGATTGCACTTGCTTTGCACCAAACCTTGCCCCTCCCAGGAGGAGATGGTTCTTTGCCATTGAGTTCACAGACTTGCTAAAGTTTAAGCTGCTGCACTTCTTCGGTGACTACGTACATCATGATGATTTTGTCATGTAATTTTGATGATAACTAGGACTTTTTTATTTCTTCCCATAATTAAAAGAGATAACAAAAGTTACTTTACTTTAAAAGCCGACTCTCACTTCCATGGTGCAGCCTTCCTGCCTACCTTTGATCTCCATTTGAGTCTTGGAGGAGATCAGGGTCTGATGAAAAGGACGGGTAAGGGAAATGGAATGCTGTTGCCTGTGCTTACTTTGTGGGTTTATCTGTGTGCCAGTTCAGCCACTTTGCCTGTCACCTTCCGCTGTGCAGAAGAAAAAAACTTCATCGACAAAAGAATTACCAGGTTCGTTCTTCCAGTTGGAGCTACCATCAACATGGACGGCACAGCTCTTTATGAAGCGGTAGCAGCTGTATTTATTGCACAACTGAATGACTTAGAACTGGATATTGGCCAAATAGTTACCATTAGGTAAGACTACAGCCATCACACACATTTTGTTGGATGTGGTTTTTTTAATGAATGGCACATTAACTTTGGATGCCCCATGGGAAAGTGGAAGCTATCATTCACAGCACAAGAAGTCACAGAAACACTTCTTGGTCCAGGGCCTTGCCTGTGCAACCTGATGAGGAGGTGGGATGGGCCAGGACATGCGGCTGGTATACAGCATCGTTCTGGAACTTGCTATTACTCTTCCACTGCAAACACTTGCAAACCCAACTCAACCTCTACCTCTGATCTGTCCAGTTTGCTTGTTAGTCATGCATTGGCCATTGTTCTGCAGTGTAACCATAACAGTATCTGTACATGATTTGTCCTATGAATTTGTCACCAGATCCTGAGTAGATACTATTCAAGAGAAAAACTGGAACATTTGGGCTTCTTTCTTGCAGTGAAATAAGCCTATTTGTGCCAGAAAATAAGAGTTTCTATGAGCAACATGTATTCTGAATGCCTTTTCTGGGTTTTATTTGGGATTTAGTGTCACAGCTACAGCAGCCAGCATTGGTGCTGCAGGCGTCCCCCAAGCCGGACTTGTCACCATGGTGATTGTACTGAGCGCCGTTGGCCTGCCCGCCGAAGATGTTACTCTGATCATTGCAGTTGACTGGCTTCTGTAAGTTTAAGCCACTTGATATTCGATTATTTCTCATTTTTTTTTAATGTTGACATAAGTCGTGTGGCAACATGTGGGTCTGAAAAATAAAGCAACAAAATCATGTAGGACAGTTGCAGGAATTTGACAAAGATTCTTCTTATGGCCAGACTTGTTCAACATGGAGTTGAATGCAGTAGTGGCTTTGATTCTGGGAGAAGTTCTACTGCATGGGATGGCAGTGAATAAGCTCACATTCAGAGGTGCTATCCACCTTAAAATAGTGGTCACAGCATTAATAAATCATTAGCATTTGTCTCTCGGGGAGAGACAAAATGGACAGTAGCAAGGAGGGCCTCTAGAGTGTCTCAGCTGCCACCATATTATCCTAAATTCATACACCATTCAGAAAAATCAAATGCAGCCACAAGCAGAACATCTCAACTGATTTCCACAAAGCACATAAAATCCATACACTGGTGAAGAGGGAGTGGAGCACAACATGAACTAAGCAAAGCTTAGTACACACACGTGGCGGGCTGTCCATGGGTCTGTGCTGACAGCATTACTTTGCTAGGGCTGCTCTTCACTGAGAGTTTTTTAAAGACTCAGCCCCTTGATCAACAAGGACACACACATGCACACTCAGAAGGCATTCCTTATGCCTGATACTAACCATGTCCCACCCTTAGTGGGACCACTTAGTTCCCTTAAGCAGTTCTTTCTGGAGAGAAGTGATTTCACCAGAAATCTTTTCTGTTCAGCTTACACCGAGATGTTTCTCTGCTACTTTTGCAAATCCCAAAGAATCACAGAGTGTATTCTGGAGTTCAGAAGGACATCAGCACTCAGTTTTGTCCCATGGTTCACTGGGAAAAAGTAACAAGATTTGCAAGTTAAGGAGTATAACTTTAGTTTGTAAAACAGCTTTTTTGCCCCCTAAACCTTGTGAGCTTTAGTGCTCAGACCAACGTGTTGTTCACCTGCAGTAACTCAGCATGGATGATATTTCATTGGTATCAATGCAGAGATCTTAATCTTTTCATAGTCTGTGCATGTCTTCTTAGGCTTGTATTTACAATCAAGGTAAATGCATTCCAGTTCCTCCCTCACCCTTTCCAATAATTTCCTTGAAGGATTTCTGGCAGAAACCTCTGTATTCCACAGATATATATATATAATCTATTTGATTATATAACTCAGTTTTGCAAGCTGTAGAGAGAAATGCCAGTCTCCAGAAAAAGCAGGGCTGTTGAACGGATCCAAGAGTCAGTTCACTTTCTGTGTAAGCATAATTGCTCAAAAAAACCCAGCTCCAGACACAAGTACGTTCTCTCCATCAGCAGTCTGCAACAGGGTCTAATAGGTTTGTTTGCTGTGCTCCACAGTTATTTCATTTTCTCCAGCTCTCTTCCCAGTGGGCAGTTAGTTTTGTTAAGGATGGTGAAGATCAGTACAAACTGCTGGCTCAGAGCAGGTATCAGAAGAAGAGTGTAAGAACAGAACAAATATATATTGGTTCTTTTCCCAAAGTACTTTTCTAGCCTTTTGCAAATTGCAGCTTACAGAATTCCTGAGCTAGAGGTAGTTTTTATTTAAACAGTTCTCAATAGATTTCTTCTTCTATGAATGCCTTATTGATTTTGGGACCCATATCAACTTTTAGATTTCCACAAGTCCTGTGGAGAGGAATTTCACAACCTAGCAATGTCGTGCACAGAGACATATTTAATTTTCTTTGCTTTAATATACGTCCTAATAATTTTATTTGATGGCTTTTAATTCTTTTATGGGAGTGAGAGAGAGAAAGAGAAGAGTAATTCCCTATTTCTCATAGTAATCATAATTTTACCGATCTGATCTCATCTCGACTTTGAAAGTCCACAATTTATATGATTCTTAGGCACAATACAAATATATGGAAGCTACCTGTTCCACCATGAGACTGAAAAAGAATTCAAGCTGTTTCTGATTCTAATTGAGAAATTTTTCAGATTAAGGTGTCTTGCTGAGTAAAGCAAATTAAAGATTAATTTCATGTACCAGGGATCATTGCCAGAGCATTTTGCACCTCAGCAGATGGAATGCACATCCTGATGCCATGTAGATTATTAACACTTTTGCCTTTTGTACTTACTGCCTAAAATGTATTATTTTGCGATCTGCTAGTAGTGGCTCATTAACAATCCTCTAGTTAATTCTGAACTTACCAAGATTTTATTACATAGGTTTAATGAGTACTTCCATGTTTTTACTGAAGAATAGAAAAATTTTGAGAAGTATTATGAAAGATTTCCAGTGCTGTTGATTTCCTCACTTGTTGTACTGATCCCACCAGAATTTCACTTTACCTCTCTCTCCTCCTTTCTCTACCATGTATTTCCTTTTCACATGGCGAACACACGGTCACTTTTTAGCACTGGAGTTCAGCGGCTGTAGTAGAATATGTATATGAGACACACTGATTCACTTCACTGTTGTTTTTGCAGTCCCTTCTATTTGTGAATATATCCAACTTAGCATCTCTGCACAAACAGAACAACTTGTTTTGCCACGAAGACCTTGCAGTGCTGTGTAGCAGCAAAGAAAAACAAGGAAGCATGACCTTCCACTGTCCCTACCTAACTTTCATGCCAGTTTTCGAACTGTGCTATATTGCATGGTTTTGTTGTTCCTCTGCCAAGTAGTGGCATATTTTTAAGGCCTACAAGTCATGGTTCTGTTGGGAGAAAAGTCCACAGTACAGAAGTATCATATTCCTTTAACTGACTTGTTTAATACAACCCTTTAACAAGGAGAAGCTAACAAAAGATAGCCTTTCCCATTTCCAGGGTTTGGGCCAGAATACTGAGAATACTGGGCTAGGCACTCCTCTGGCCAAGGAAATGACTATTAGAGAGACAAAAGGCACAATGCAGACTCCACTGCTGCACCCCACAGTCTCTCCTCCCGACAAAAGCAGTCTCATCACAAAGAGAACCAGCTGTGTAGCATACTTCAGGGCCTGAGAAGTGATCCCTACATTTTGTACAGCTATGCACAGCAATGTGATCACTGCTTTAACAGACAAGTGATGTGACTTGCACTTTTACACACTCTTTACAAAGTAATTTGTCATGCAAGTGACTACAGGTTTCTTCAAATACATGTGGGGAAAATCTGTTTCTTGTTCTACAATATTTTTTCTTTTAATTGCAGAATTACCCCAATTCTGCACTGGGGAAAAAAAAAAAAAACAAACCAAACAGCTCTGCACTTGCTAGAGTAGTTTACTTTTTACTAAAAGGATTTTCTAAGTAACTTACAGATTGTTTTGACTGACAACATTTTTATTCCATAGGGATCGATTTAGAACAATGGTGAATGTCTTGGGAGATGCCTTTGGTACAGGGATAGTGGAGAAGCTCTCTAAAAAGGAGCTGGAGCAGATGGATGTCACCTCTGAAGTCAACATAGTCAACCCTTTTGCCTTGGAAACGACAACACTTGATAATGATGAAACAGAGACCAAGAAATCGTATGTCAATGGAGGCTTTGCTGTAGATAAGTCTGACACTATATCCTTCACACAGACGTCTCAGTTCTAAAGCCAGTAGCCAGGTAAAACAGGAGCACTAAAGGACATGGCCATATGCAATATCTCAAAAAGCTTAAAGGATAACTGAGAATTAATTACATCTCACATGTATTTGATTTACTACACAGACTCTGATTCTCCTTACCAGGTCTGCTCCCTTCTCATCGCTACTGATAGGTTGAAAAAAAAGACAGTTGTAAAATACTTTTTTTTTTTAATATACACTATTGCTGGGGCTATGAAATGCCTCTTTGGAATCAGCATGCTCATAAATGGGTGTCTTAGCTGGGACAGCCAAATGTGTTTTACTCAGGAGTAGCACAGCATTCCACATCTTACCCACGTTACAATGCACCTGTATAAAATCTCTTCTAACATTCTTGCCTTCTAAACAGATTGCACTGTACTTGACACCTACTATAACTTGATCATGTGCCAAAATGCTCATTTCTCCAGCTGAGAGGATACCACTTGGGTGATTCAGGAAGGAACAGAATAGAAAGGCCCTGAAATAAGTATTTTACTGTGAACAAGGTTTCATTTTTCTTTAATTATTAAATAATTGGACATGGAAGAATTTCCAATGTTGGAAATGTGTAGCTGGGTTTCCTTATGCCTTTCTTGTGAATGCCAGCTGCTGGGATTGGCTTTCAGATGTGAAATTAATTGCTGTGGTTTTTCTCTTCTGGTATTTAAAGAGCTTTTGTAAAGTGATACTTCATTGATTTAGGTCCATTTTGATGGCCTCCTAGTACATTTCCATCAGAAGCAGAAATAAGTCCGTTAACTGTTGTTCACCTTTGACTCTAACCAAATACTAATCAGCCCCAAAGTAGGTACAGGTTGTGAAGATGGAAATAGACTATATAGCAACATGTGGTGGTTTCACCCTTTTGGTTTGCAAGCAAACACTCCCGCCTGCCCCAGGGAGTAGGGGAGAGAATTGGAAGGAAAAGGGCAAGGAGACTGACAGGTTGAGATAAAAACTGTTTACTAATTAAAATAAAATTATAATGATAACAGCAGTGATAACAGAATATACAAATGAGTGATGCACAGTGCAGTTGCTCACCACCCCCCGACCAGTGCCCAGCCTGTGCCAGCCAGTGATCCCGGAGCAGAGACAGTCCTGAAACCGAAACCCCGGAAAAATGACCCTGAGAGAATACCCTGGGTTACCAGTCATCCCTGGTTAATATAGTGAACATGACGTGATATGATATGGAATATCTCATTGCCGTTTCCAAATGCTAATTTGGGGGTTTGCTATTTATTATGCTTCTCCCCTCGCAGTTCTTTGCGCTTGCAAACTACCCAAACAGGATGGCCCTGGGCTCCAGCAGCAACTAATAACAGCAGTACTTTATCAGCATTCTTCTCATAACAAATCCTACACTGAAACTAAACCACAGCTATTCTAAGTACTAAGTAGAAAATTAACTCTTATCCTAGCAAAACTAGGACACAACACATAATGCAAATTCTAAACCTTTCCTTCTTGGGTTAAAAACAGATAGAATATGAAGAATGTAAGAGGTGTACCTTTTTCTAGGAAGAAGCCACTATCACTAAGCTTTTTACACAGACTAGTTGGTTTTTTGCTTTCTGGTTTGGTTTGCCAGTTGAACACGCAAGTTTGTAGCTGCAGCCCTACTACAGTGCCAACATATCAGCTGAACTGTATCATATGAGGCATTTCTGGACCCAGAAAGTCATGTGCTCAGGTGGTTCGCTATAGGATAAGAAGCACCAAGAAATTCCTCATAAGAAATCTCCATTTTCTAAAACATTTTATACAAGATTTCCATGGTGCAAAAATCACTCTCTCAAGGGAGAAGTTGCTGTAACAATTTTTTTTGCTTTGGACATTAAAGTCATTAGCCATTTTAATATGTAAAGTAAACTGAATTTCCCGTACAGTTCATTATTTGTAAATAAGCTTGTGGTAAACCTAAAATTGCACTCATACGCTAACAAAAAACCCTTCATCTTCCTGCAGTGTTATATACTCGATTCAATCCTACACTTTTGTATTTAAATAAACCAGAAGTGTGCCAAAGAGAACTGATTAAGAAAATAAGAAAATATTTACTGTAGGTTTTGATAAATTGCACCTTAGATCAACAAGTCAATGAGACATAATACTGTATTTAAATTAAACATTGTAAACTATATGGAAGTGTTAATCTAAGTATTGGTACATTTATACAAAATAAAGGAAATGTACAGACTGAGTAACTCAGTCTTTTACCTGTGCAGAAATAGTACAAGACAGTCTTTATTTGTACAGCTTTGTTTATGGGAGGAAAAAACCCATGAGTTTTCACACCTAGCCTATAATCTATGCTTTGTCTTTTCTTTGCTTTTTTAGGTCACCCTTTTATGATCACCCCATTATGTAGTCACTCTGTTATGATGTACGGTGAACAGTGTTCCTAACATGTTCTAAATAAACAATTTCTCTCTTTACTCTTGTTTAGCCTACCATCCTCTCCTCACCTGGGAATACTGAGTTCCTTTAGCTACAGCAAGGAAAACAGAAGTGGTTGAATTTAGTATTTATGCTGCCTTCACTAGTGACTCAGGCGTAGCTTTGGCAAGAATTGCTCTCTTCTTCCAATAAAATAAATACTTAAGAGCACAGTGCTGACATTGCAATAAAGCCCTCTAACTACAGATGATCTGGGTTGGGAGTATACTATTAAACACACAGTAAGCAAGGGATTATTTATTTATTATTTAATTATATGGATCAGATTCAACTAAGCAAGGGTTGATGGTGCTGTTTTGCCGTCTATTTACCACCAGGAGACCAAACCACATACTGAAGATGCTGTTACGTCCAAGGATGCTTTTCCTGACACAATATTCTGCGTATGTACCTTCTATATATGTGGAAACATCCTGGATGGTTAATGTGTCCTCTTCACCATAGCCTCTCAGTCTAGAGGCTTTGGATAGTGGTGAAGAGTCTCCCATCAGAAAAGCACCTGCAGGTTTTGGCCCTCTACACCGTGTTATGTTCCTGTAGGGTCTTCGGGGCTGCAGAAGCTATCACAGGATTGGACCCTGCATTTTGAATAGCAAAAGTCAGCTTTAAGTCATGGAAGACAAGGTTACCCCCACACACGTCCCTGCTGAAATGTGCAGGGACTTGTAGTTGACTGCTAACACTGAGGAAAGAAAGCACCTAGACATAAACATATAAAGGTCTGTCAGCATGCACAGTCAGCTATATTGGCTCCACAGGAGTTACAACTGCATAAAAATAGTCTTGACATGTGCAGTTCATTTGTTCTTTAATCTTCCCTGATAAGAACAGAAACTGCCCAGTCTGAGGTCTTCAAAAACACAACCAACCACTGCCCCAAAATTATGGTTAGGTCCTTCCCATAAGTTACAGTTTCAGGCCCCGCTTGACTATGTACAATATACCTTGGAGCACCTCCTGTCACCCAGCAAGTGAGATGCCAAACAATGGAGCATGCATAGCTGTGCAGAGCTACAGCCGTGCAGAGTTCCCCTGTTTTTTCTTTTTCCATGTTTTCTGCCTGCAGCTTTTCCTGGCCAAACACCTAGCAGCGCTTGGTGGACTGCAGAGCACAAGGAAGGCAGGATTGCCAGGGTATAGGAGGCAAACTAGGCAAGGAATAGCAACCAAGTCATAACCCCTTGACCACCAGACCTGTATTGCATGCTGAAAGTGTGGAAAGCGTAATGGGGGAAGCCCATGACCTGTTTATAAATACTCTTTCTGGAAGTCAGTGTCTCCATTGCCTGCTGCCAAAGGCAAAATCTTGAGTAGACGATATTTTTTTTCTGTCTCACTACTCCTCAAAGGGTTTATCAAATGTTGCACTGTTCCTGATAGTTTCAATTTGCTCCCCAAAACCCTACATCGTCGCCACCATTCAGAAAAATGTGTGAGGAGGAAGGAGCAGCAGAGAGGGTGGCTGTATGGACTGAGCCTAATCCCCATTCCTCAGCCCCTAGTGCTACCAGGCTGGGATGGAGGTAGGGCCATCAGCAATGAAGGAGTGAAGTTTAACCTGGGGGAAGGAGGGCTTGGGTGAGAAGGTGGTTTAGGTTTTGTTTCTCACCATCCAACCCTGTTTTTAGTTTACAATAAATTAAATTGGCAGGGGAGACGAGGCAGGGGAGATGACGAGGGGGTGTTGCCCTCTATGTCAACAGCCAGCTGGAGTGTATGGAGCTCCACCTGGAAACAGATGAGGAGCTGCTGGAGAGTCTATGGGTGAGGATTAAAGGGAAGGCAGAGAAAGGGGATATTACAGTGGGGGTCTGCTACAGGCCACCAGACCAGGGAGACTGAGCAGATGAGGCCCTCTATAAGCAGATAGGAGCAGCCTCACGTTCACAAGCCCTGGTCCTCGTGGGGGAATCAGCCACCCCGATATCTGCTGGAGGGACAACACAGCAGGGGACAAACAAT